ATTAGGAATGGCATGTTCGTTTCAACACGATTACAACCCAAACACACCTCAAGACTAGTGGCAAATTGAATAACAGCAGCAAATACTTACATATATACATATGTGGTTACCAAATTTAAAGGATCTCAATTCAATCGAGAATCTACGGGAAATACTCAGTATGAGCGTGGAGAGAGAAGGTGTAAACTGAAGGTTATACGTAATCTTATTGCTTCCATACCGATGAGGTGCAGTGAGGTTATTAAAAATATTGGAGGGGCTATAAAATATTACTACTTACTAATTTTTCCAATATGTTTTGTCGCACTGAGCATTAAACATGCTAAATTTTTTCGCACAACAAAGTAATGGGACTGATTATATTGCCGCGTAACCCAGCGACCTTGAAATTCCTTTTCCCTACTCCCGACATCCTTCTTCTCTCCATTGATATATTTGCCATCGCTATAGCTCGTTTAGTTCGCCTGCTGTGCCGTGTTGAGTAAACGTTTGTTCGTGGTGCTCGTCAAGAAAATGGAGAAACGATGTCAAGAACAACGCGTCGCCATAAAATTTTGCGCCAAATTGGTTGAACCAGCTAAAATTGTAAAAGTGCAAAACTACGAAGTCAGCTCAGGTGTTTCGATGGCATAAAGAGTTTAAGGAGAGGCGTGAAAGCTCGCCTGACCAAGTCAAAAGTAATCACGTTTATTATTGCCTCTTTTGATAGCCGTGGAATAGTCCACAAAGAATTTTTGCCACCGGTGTAAACCGTAAATCAAGTCTATTATCGCCAAGTACTCGAATTATTACGAAAACGAGTCAAGAGCGTGCGCCCAGACATCGCTTGTAACTGGATCCTTCATCACGACAACGCGCCGTGCCACACCGTCCTCAGCGAGTCCCAGTATTTGGCCTGTAAAGGCATCGCTGTGTTACAACAACCGCCTTATTTCCCCGATATGTCAGTCTGTGACTTTTTTGTTCCCTTGAACAAAATCGGTAGTCAAAGGAACCCATTTTGAGTCGTTTGAGGACATCCAGGCAGCCGTGCTGAGGGTACTCGTAGATATCCCAGTCAAAGCATTTCAGAAATGTTACGAAGCATGGGAAACACGCTGGGGATCGTGGTATAGCTGTACAAGGGGACTACTTTGGGGGGGTTGTAGAATAATTTTGAAATATACGGTTTTTACGGAATAAGTCTAATTAGTGAAGTGTCACATCTCGTATGTAAGGCATGAAGTCAAATATTTTAATAAGGTTTCTTAAGTTTTTAAACAATAAATAGTTTCTCTTGATGACAAACTACATAGAAAATTTGTTTATATTCAAAATGATATTTGTGGAAACCTGAGATGGTAATATCAATTGTGGGCATTTGTCCAATATATTTTGTCGGCCAGTGTATGTATAAATGTAAAGCTGGTAATACATAATAAAAATAACGGCTTTTATTGGCGTAAGAGAATCAAACGTTTGTTCTAGTAGGCTGGCGACTATAAGCCTTTTTTAGCCTCTAAATATCGCCCGAGGCGTTGAAAGCGGCACACGAGCTACACACTTCTAGGCGGAACAAGCGTCAATTTAACGGGTCACAGCTGCCCAACGCGAGCAACTCAAACAGTCAATTATGCGCTTGGCCACGGTCATTGTCTAGCCGGCGGTGGATTATTGTACTGTGATTGTGCTCTTAGATTACCGTATTACGGCTGTGGGTCTTTTTATTGCATTGAATTTATTCTTTTGTTTATATTTTTCGCGCTTGTGTTTGACATTATGTTGCTACCTACAAAACAATGTTTGACTGCAACTTTTTATTCCCCAAGCGAACACGCCATTTTTAGGCCACTACTCGACATGCGACACATTCTGATTTTTATAGTAATTTCAACTGATTTGCTTAATTTTATATTCTATGTCGCGAAATCGACTTTTTATTTCAACAGTTTTTATGTGCAATTAATTAAACTACATTAGAATTACACCGCCAATGAGTTTCTTGGTCTATGCATGTACTTGCCAATCATAATCAACTCTGTGAGAGAACGTGCAAGATTGTGTTGAGAAGATATCAAATTAATTAAGATTCAGCGATATTGTTGTAACACAGATATTTGTATGTACATTAGGTTGGTCATTATTTGCCAAAACGATTTTTTGCCAAGCCAAGGAGTTTATTGATAAAAAATTATTATGATAAATGACGATCGCGTTTTTTTTTAAATAAAAAAAAATATTTTTTTTTCATCATTTTAGGTTTGTTTATTGGACTGCTCTAGGCTGCACCAAGTAGTATTAAAAAAAATATTTTAAAAAACTTTTTCCTCTTATAAACAGTTGCTTGTTGTAACTTAAATACAAGTGACAATAAAAATTATCAATTCTATATATAAACAAATATAATATATAGAATAACTGAAAATTTTCAGGCAGCCCAACGGATTTCTACCCGACTTGCACTACTGCTCTTCCATCAGCTTTCGAAAAGATCGAAAACACATGATGGGGATTGCAGTGCCACAGAGGAGACCTCCCAACGGAGAGCTTAAGAAGCCGACCGACAAGGGTAATGCTCTAGAGTTCTTCGAAACGATACGGCGTCTTACAAAAAGTGTCAAGACCGGAGCATACTCTTACAGGACCCAGATGGGTGAGCTAGTGACGGATGCCCAGAGTATACTGAAAAAATGGAGGAAGCCCGAAACTCTAATTGATGACGATGGAAATTTTGTTTTATTACCCGCACGCTTAGAAAATAAATAAAGGGGCGGGGATCGATAGGTTACCGCCTGTGCCATTTAAATACGGCGGTGAGGAGCTGACAAGGTGCACGCATCAGCTTCCTTGCAAAAGCATACCAGACGATTGAGATCTATATATGTTTTGCTCAATCATAATCAAAAGGGTGATCCCACAGCTGATTGGACCTTATGTGTTTAGTCTTAGACAGGTAAATCAATCTTTGCGTAATCTTGGAAAAGGGCTGTGAAAGTAAGTTCGACATATACCACCTCTTCGTCGATATTCAAGCACCTTTCGATAGCACAAAAAGCACAGCCTCTACGCCGCTATGTCCGAATTTAGTATCCCCGCAAAACTTATACGGTTGTGTGAACTGACCTCAAGCAACACTAAACGCTCTATCGCATTCGGGAAGGACCTCTCCGAGCCGTTCGAAAACAAAAGAGGTTTCACACAAGATCATTCCTTATCGTATGACTTCTTTAAAGGTAAAATCTGCTATAAAAGTATACAGCGGCTGGCATACGACGGTGATATTAACACCATTAGTCTCAACAACCGCACCGTGATAACTGATTTACCCAGACTGGATTAACGACACATACTTATACGACTTGGTAGTGAACAAAATATCTTCATTGTTTAAATAAAATGTCATACCATTCCAGGCTCGGCTCCGACATCACTGTTGACAGTCATAATTTTAAGGTCATAAAAAATTTCGTCTATCCAGGGACCTGCGTTAACAGCAATAATAATGTGAGCCTAGAAATCCAACGCAGAATCAGGCCTGGCAACAGGTGCTAATTTGGACTGAGTAGGTAATTGAAAAGTAAAGCCCTCTCTCGGCGAACGAAAACCATACTCTACAAACCGCTCATCATTCCGCTCCTGCCATGGACAATTACAACTTGTGATGAGTCGACACTAGAAGTTTTCAAGACAAATTTTTTGCGTAAGATTTATGGTTATTCGCAAGTAAGGCGCGGCAAATACCCTAGCTGATGGAAAGTTGAGCTGTTCGAGATATGCAACATATGTAGATATAGTTCAGCGAATAAAGAAGCAGCGGCTACATTGGCTGGGTCATGTGGTTTGGATGGATATAAATACTCCAGATCTGAAAGTTTACGATGCAGTTCTCGCCGGTGGAAGCAGAGGAAAATGAAAAAAAGAAGAAGAAGAAATAATTTCTTAGACCAGCAAAGGCATACCTAAATAACTCTCAGTCAACATAGCAAGCAATTAGAATTGAAATGTGGCTTCTTCAAAACTATAACATCCAAAGTAAGATTAAAGAAATTTTATAAATTAAAATGTCTTCAAATATTTTTTTATATATAATTTTATTTTCTATATAAACGATATGTATGCTCGTAAAATAATCTCGATTTTACAATTTACAATAATCTTAAAATTAAAACAACTCTTCTGAAACAATTATAAATCCTTAAGAACAAAATGAAAACAAAATCTAATTCTTTGTATAGAAAAAATAATAATCTTATTCGAATTTCATGAAGTTATATGAAAGGATGTACATTACATTAAATAGTTATTTATATATGTATATACGGACAGTACTTAAAATTTTTTATTTCGATTTAACTTTAAAATAAATGAAAGATATCGAAATTAAAATGTGAAAAATGTAGTAAGGTGTGATGGTCAGTTTGCTTGAATGAAGTTTTCAACCGTAATTTCGGAGGTTTTCAGCTAACTCAAAATAAATATATTAACATTTTTAAGTTTCAAGAAATTTTTTGTATACATTATTTCTAAATTTACCAAAAATTGAAAAGTGAATTGTTTCCGTAAGAAGGAAAATGATTATATTTTATTATATGTGTTCCTAAATTTCTTCGAACAAACCAATGAAATGGAGAGAAAATGTGAAGAATGTTGAAGAATCGAAAAATATTGTGAAAATGAAAACTTATGCAATTCTTAAACTATTAATTTACATACTATACATATATGTATGCGATACTTTGTAACTATGTATATTTGAGCTTTGATATACTGAAAAGGTTTCGAGTATGAAAAAATACAATTCAACATTGAAAGAAGTTTTTTTTTTTGTAATTTGGCGTCTTTATAGCCAACTTTAAATGCACATTGCTTAACAGATATATTTAACAAATTTTAGATGTAATTTTATGGGAAGAGAATATTTTATAATCGACACTATTTAAATCTCTTCAAATTATTTAACCGAATTTGAGTAAAAAATTTCAATTAATTTTTCTTTTACAACTCTTTTTTTTTTGCTTCAATTTCAAACTAATCATTCACTTGTTATAAATAATGACATACGCTATAATTTACTTAACCACGCCTACCAGTAACAGCAACAGCTTAGCTTAACGCCAAGAGCGGCTCATAGTCCACATCCTTCGGACTCGTTTTCTTCTTATATTTCTTTTGCAATTTCGTCTTGGAGAGTTTCGATTTTGATTTGCTCGATCGTCGCTTCTTTTCCTCCCTATCTTCCTCCTCTTTTTCACGATCGAGCAGCTCCAATTGCTCGAAAATATTCTTTGGACGTGGATGTGTACTTGGCTTGGTGGAATTTTTCGCTGCGTACACCACAACAAATTGGGAGAAAGCCGAATCAGCTGGCGTATTTATATCGGCAAAATCACGGAAATCGGCAAATTGTTCTTCGGGATATGTATACTTCTGCACGAATTCTTCATTCGATGGGCGGCCATGTCCATTGGCATCACCGTAGTATTGATTGAAATCACTATTTTCATCTGTGTGATAAGGCATTTCCTCTTCGGGATAGAACGTGCCGCCACGCAAAACACCAAAATCACCGGAGCCCAAAATAGCCGGATCAAAGCTACGTTGTGTTGGGCCGAGTGGCACTTGTTCCGGGTGTGGTGCGGCAAACTTCGGTATTACTGGACTGTCGGGAATGGGGAAGTAGGGCCGTGAGTGTCCCAATGGTGGTGCTTCACGAAAGAATGGTGGATAATAGTTTTGAGCTGCTTGTGTATGTGAGTCCAAGGGCGATGGATGTGGTGCGGTAGGATGTACATCAGAACGTGCTACTGCAACGGGGTTGGCTGGCAATGGACGGAACTGATAGGTGGGTGGCACATGGAATTGCTGTTCCTGTGAGCGGAGTACGGTAACGGGTGCAAAGTCATTTGGCTCCATTAGCATATCCGCATCCTCTTCGGGGAATTCAGCAGCTGTAAAGGAGAGGAGACAAATTTTTATTTAGTAAAAATGATTTATAAAGAAAAATAAAAACAAAACTAAATTAAATGGAGTGGAGTATGGTATGCTGAGGTATAAAATCTTGGAGGAAGGAAGACTGTACGGAGAAGTGCGTACTATAAATGTCTGTAAAACGTAACTTTCTTTGGACTTTTCCCAATTTCAGAAAATTTTGGATGGTGTGTATGAATTACATGTAAAATGTGGCTTAAGAAGAACTGAGAATCTTGCCTTAAGTGCTGATGAAAACCTAAGTGTGTCCATTCCTCGTCGTTCTTTGGAACCGTGCCATCCACAAACTGCTTAACATCGTATTTTTCATAAAGACTTGGGTTTTAAGGCTTACAAAGTTCACTTATCACAAGAACTCAAGCCGGCCGATCGTCAACAACGTCGTGTCTTTCATGATCGGTACTGGAAATGCATGAAAAGGATTCGTAATTTCATCGAAAAATCATCTTGATTGATGTGTGGACTTCCATGGCTATTTCAATAGACAAATTAGTCCCATCTGGCGTTCAGAAAATTCAAGACTTGTTTCTTTTCTTTTTCGAAAATGAGGCTGGAGCAACAGCAGTTTCTCTTAATCGGTGATCGAAAATTTCATAACAAGGATACGGTCCCGTAAAAGAGGCCGTGGAGGCAATTTGGGTGATTGTGTTTCCTATTATTAATTGCATATCATCCATTTTAAATTGAAATAAACATTTAATCATTTATCTAAAAAATTTCATTTCTTTACTTTTTATTCGAAAACCCTATATATACGGGTACTTCATACTGAAAAGTTACTTGACTTATGTTAAAAATACAGGAGAACTCAATTGGACATGAACTTGAAGCATAATGACACTTACGAAAGTGTAAATAAGAGCGAATCTTATAATTGTTTGATACGAGTACTCCACCAGTCATAAGCAATTTAACGCTGCTGAACCACTCAAGCACATTCCAAACAACTCAATTAACTGAGTGAAGATGCAATCGAAAAACTTTCACCGATCACAAGATGAACTGCTTAAGGCAGCAGCTTGGGCTTTGAAAGCGAGTTTAGTGCTTGGTAATTTCATTTCATTGTCAATGGATTAATTTATGTGCAAAGAGTTAATGTAAAGGGTGATTGTTTTTTTATAGCTATTATTGGTTTAAACAGCAGAGGCACGTTTCCTGTTCTGTATCTCTGTCAAACGTCTTCAGTTTGGTCTATAATTTAACCATGATTCGTCTTATAAGCAAACAGCGCTTGCAAATTATTGAATTTTATTATCAAAATGCGTACTCTGTTAAGAAAGTTCATAAATTAACCATGTCCAGAAAAAGTCACAATTTGGCGCGGTTTATGGGCTGGTGACATCAATGAAACGCAAGAGCTTGACTTGCTTGGCTTCAATAAGTCGGTACCACATGCCACACAGCACGCGTCACAATGGACTTATTGAGAGACGAGTTCGGGGAGCTTTTTCTTTCACTTTCAGGGCCGATCAATTGGCCACCTAGATCGTGTGACTTAACGCCTTAAGACTATTTTTTAGGGGGCTATGTTAAATCTAATGTCTATACAGACAAGACCGCTTCAATTGACGCTTTGGAGGACAACATTGAAGCATTCGTTCGTGAGACACAGGTCGGAATGTCGGAAAGAGTATACCAAAATTAGACTAACAGGCCTATTCTCACTGCTACCGATTACTACCGGTACATTTGCCAGTTGATAAAGTAAAAACAAAAATATTCACATCAAAAAGGAAGACGGTGCACAAAAAAATTAAAAAGTTTTATTAATTTGTTTATTAAATCATAAATATTTGAACCTAATTATGGAAAATATGCCTGGATAACAAAAAAGGCTGAATGAAAACGTTATCTTACAAATTTAAGGGCTATTTTTTAGTTTCGAAAACTTCTTAAAATACGACATTTTGCACTTTTTTCTTCATCTTCAATGAATTCCAAGCCTAAACTATGCCTAGCCGTTTTTCGCTGGTAACAAAATTTACAGGGTAACAGTGAGCTCAGAATACGAAATGGTAACAAAATTTACTGAATGGTGAATTTTAATACCTAGGTAAATTTTGTTACCTCGACTGAATAGGCCTGTAAGTGGATGGATCATTTGTGGCGCAGTCATGGTCAACATTTGCATGAAATAATCTTCAAACATGAAATTTTATGGACCGAATTATCAATTCAAATAAAGATTTCATGAATTTTTCTGAACGTCATGTGTTTTTTTTTTTGGAAAATTTTCTTATAGCTCTTAAAAAATCACCCTTTACTAAATCTCTCGAATGATAGCCATAAATTTAAGCTACAAAGTACAAGTAGAGACTATTGACAATGCTTTCTTCTGCTGATATTAATACTGAGCAGTCAAAATGTTTTCATATTGAACTGTAATAAATTTTAATGAATTATTTATCTTAGCAGCGACAGTTACCTCAGCCAGCCGCAATAATTTTTAGCCTGAGAGTGAAAACTACTGTCTGCAACGACGGATGTCGGCGATAAAAAGTCAAAAAATATTGCGAAAACCCACATACAGATTTGTTAACATGAGAAATGGCATAACTCAAAATATCAAAATGTTAAGCTTAGTGAACTTTTAAATAAATGTTAAATTCTTCATCGTTAGAAGTGAAGTTCATCTGCCTCCAAACAATAAACAAAAGAAATGAATTATATTTTTACATGGCTAAAAGTAAGGCGGAAGTCGTTTTCTTATATTTAACAAATTTTTTGGCTTTCTAGAATTAGGAACTTCTTCATGTAAACAAGCGACGTCTATATTTGAAGTAGACTGCCTTGTTGCAATGAAAGTTTCCTGCAATTGCAAGTTAACGACACTTTTGCGAAAACTGGATTTTTAACTAACAAGTTATTCCAAGCCTTTAAGGCTTTTCCTTATTTTTATTGTTTGTCGTTGACAACAAGACAGTAGCACTGACGTGGACATACGTACACGTACATATGGGTTTGTGTGCTTAGCGCAGTCGCAGTAGTTTAGGCTTTTTATTATTATTTTTTTTTTTTATATTTGGTTCGATGGCAAGATCGTGGTCAAGTAGCATGTTTAGATGGTCACCAAAATGATTTTGTCTACTCCAAATAACGGTCATGCACTTGTGAAAGTTTTAATAAACAAAGCCACTCGTGTTTCCAACGAAACTGAAAAAGACAGCGCAGCTCAAGTTAGAGCAGAATAGGGCAGATAATTAAAAAGTGCAAAGCAAACTAGTGATAAATCTTATGAAACACATTTGAGAAACTATTTAGAAATATGACTTTGACGCTTCTACTGAATTATTAATTTTTTTTTTCACCATTCATAGTCAACCAAAAAATTTTATTGTATAATCAAAATACAGAGTATGATGGAGTGTAGTCAAGCATAGTACAGTCGCCGGGCTATATTCACTTCCTACTCTTGTGCCCACGCCGCGCACCCTGGAAATGTGAACAACCATTCAGAAGTCTACGGTCACGGCTAAAAGTGAGGAAGGTTCAGTGGAGCCACTCAGAGTTATTCAGTTTAAGGGTACGCGGAAGTCTAATTCCAGTATCATTTCACCAGAGGTGCGGTTACGTGCGGGAGTCGGTCTTAAAGCAAACAGTTCGGTATTTAAATGTGTTCTCAGTCTAGGGAGGTTGTGCGCTGGGTTTGAGATCCGCCACGTAGAATCCAGCACCAATACAAAAAATTTAACAATGCTTGAGATGAGAGACCACCAGCAAGTGTTTTAAGGATCACGATTTGACAGCTTGCCTACGGAATGTCCGGTCCCTTAATTGGGAAGATGCCGCTGCCCAGCTGGTTGATGCCCCCGTGGGAATTAAAGCTGACATCACCGCCGTCCAAGAAGTGCGATGAAAGAGACATGGACGGAAACCAGTAAATCCTTGTGACATTTACTACAGCGACCATATAAAGGAGCGAAAATTTGGTGTCAGATTTGTGGTGGGAGAGAGACAACATTGCAGTATACTGGGATTCACCCCAGTGGGTGAATGTCTCGTCACAATCCCCGTCGAAACGGAATTTTTTAACATTTTACTGATTTGTGTCCATGCTTCGATGAAAGAGAAGGACGATGTGATCAGGGATATCTATTATGAGCGCCTGTGTATGAGCTATATGAAAATTGTACTTGACGACTTTAACGTCAGAGTGGACAGAGGCACAGCTGTTAATAAATTCAGCGGAACATCTCAATATGGGTTGAGGCTGATCGACTTCACCGGGAACCGAAATATTATAACCGAATATTGTCTGTAGTTCTATATTCCAGTTCAAGAAAATTTATCAAGCTTCTTGGCTGTACCCAGATCGAAAAACTCAAAACCAGATCTATCATGTTGTGATAGACGGATGACTTGTTTCCAATATTCTCGACGTATATACAGTCCGAAGACCCAACATCGATTCGGATCGATATTTTGTAGCACAGATTGGAGGAGGAAGAAGGGCTTCTTCTTCTTTTAAAAATTAACAATTGAATGTGCTTATGGTTTGAAAATCTCTTATCGCATTTCATAAAAAATTAAGTCCTTTGATAGAGAGGCAGATACCAAAAAGCTTTATAAAAACGAATTGTAGAGGTAAAATTAAAACTCCGTGAAGCCTCTAGACTACTTAGATTTTTAGAAAGAACTACAATTAGAAAAACTTCAAAGCTTAGAGGTGTAGCTTGGTAAAACTTTCTTATTTTATTTTAATTTTATTTATGCAAAGTGTTAAACTCATTAAAATACTAAGGACGTTATGCGAAACAAAATTGAATTTTGAAAAACTTCAAACTATCATTTGAGCAGCGAACAAGTATTGAGCGAGTATGGAGTTGCTTACAGTAGTAGTGGGTCTGGCAAAACTATGAACGAAGAGTAAGCTAGTTTAACCTCACTTAACCTAAGGCTACAGACTAAAAGTGTTTCTATTTTTTTGGATGAAATTGGGGGTAGAATGTCTCGTCATGTA